CTTTAGGCTAGGCCAAAGAGCCAGCTCCCTTCTCTGAAGAAGGGATCAGAAGGACCCGGCAGCTGCCAATGGGCAGCCATCTGTGGGAACAAGCGGACTGAGCTTTGCCCTCTCTGAGGTGGAGAGTAGGGTGAGAAGGTGCTGAAGGACAAAGTAGACAAAGCCCCTTTCATTCTCCCAGGATCCCCTTGGTATGTCCCCAGATCTGGGTCCGGAGGGTGGGTGTGGGAAGCATGTTCTAGGGTTGCTGGGAGCCCCCTGGGACACTTGGAATTGCAGGTGGCTGGTGGTGGGTGTCGGGAGTGCTCAGCCTCCCCTATGCTTGGAGAAGCAAGTTGGAGGATCTGTGTGTACAAGATCATTTCTGTAACGGCAATTACTGTCCCTGAGAAGGCATTAAAGTTAATGAGAGATAGGAAAGTGTAGGGCTCTGACCCCCGTTTAAAGCAGTTTAAGAGTGTACAGCTCTTGTTTTCTGAATGTCTGGCCTTCCCGACACAAGGAGGCTCTGAGGACAGGTTTTCCAGCCGAAATATCATTAAATTGTATTAGCATCTTATTACACACACGCCTTAGTGGTCTGCCTCAGACAGGGAGAGTTTTTGTTTCTCTTTGAAAGATTGTGTCTGGAATTGTAAATTGCCTGCTTGAAAGCCTTTTCCACCCCCCTTTTAAGGAGGAAGACGAAATCCTGCTGTGTGTGGTGGCGGGCAGGACAGGCCTGGTGGCCCCCAGAGAGGAGAGGCCGGAGGCCAGGTTGGGGTGTTTTAACTGCCCAGGGAATAGCTGCAGTCGCAGGCCTGAAAGGCCCACTGTTCCCAGGGTCAGCTGGAAGGGCGTTAATGGAGGCCCGGGGTGTTTATTTGAGTTTATTTGCGGAGAGGTCTTTAAAGGGGGCTGGCGTTGGGCATTGGTGTTTCAAGTCCAGGCCTGAGGCCCCCACTAAAACCAATGGCTAGTGCTGCCAAGAAAACATCTGCCACCAAATTGCTGCCCTATTACTGAGTTGACATTGATCATTAGCCAGGAGCCCGACCAAATAAAGTCTCCTGGAAAATGTGTGAGGTTAAGATGGGGAAGGCAGGCTGAGAAAACAGGGCAAAATCTTGTGCTGGGGTGTTTGTTCCTGCAAGCTGCAGGCAGGCAGGCCAGCTGGGCTGTGTGGTCCCCACACTTCAGGAGGTGCAGAGTGGAGAGGACAAGAGCACACTCAGCATTTGGCATATATCGGGCCCCCATTCTGTGGTGGGTGCAATATGAGGGGACACTGGGGCTCCAGCAGGGATCCAGATAGACATGCACCTTTCTCTCATGGAGTGTACATTCCCCAGGAGAAGGGCATTCAACAGGTACATCAACAGAACCAAACTGAGATGCATGCTCTGCAACTTTCTGTAGATAAGCTACCCAGTATAGATCTCTGTGACATTTAAGCTGAAACCCGAAGGAAGGAAAGCCAGACATGCATAGGTTGCATAGAACACTACACACAGAGCACGGCTTGTGCACAGGTCCTGAAGCATGGAATATTTGGCTTGTTTGAGGAAGTGAAAGGAGACTGGTATGACTGGGAAGTGGTGGGGAAGCGGACGGTGGTGGAAATGAACTTGTTGAGGTGCAGGGGCCAGATCATGTTGAGTCTTGTGGTCAGAAGCTTGTGTTTTGTCCTTTGATCAGCAGGAAGCCTTTGAAAGATTTAACATAGGGGCATGATGTGATCTGATTTATGCTTTTTTACTATCATTCTGGCTGCTGTGTGGGTTCAGGATTTGGGGAGAGCAATAGTGGAAGTTGATTTATGAATGAGGGGTGCAGACAAGAGACAAAACTGGCTTGGACCAGTGTGGTAGCAGCAGACATGGGGGTAAGTGGGAGGATGCATGATTTGTTCTGGGGAGATCCCGTGGGGCTTGCTAAGGATTGCCTATGGGTTGCTGCTCTATTGAAGAGACTCTGGGATTCCCACATCCCTGAAGGAGGGCTCTCATAGTCCATGCTGAGGATGGGGTGAGGGGTACAGATGGACTGGTGGGGCAGGAAAGGAGGGACCCTTGCTTTCGTTACTTTTCCTTGGTAGGTGGAATTCCAAAGCAAATGCGATGTGACACTGAGGTATTCTCCTCCCGGAGCAGACCTTGATTTGGTAGAGACTGGAAAAGCCAGTGGGGAGAGGGAAAATCAGAGGCCAAGATCAAATCTCAACACCCTTGGCTGTACCTGCATTTGCAGCCCTGGACTTCAGCTTTGGTGAAGGGGCTCTCCCTGACCCCCTTGCTGGGTTGGAGAGGGGGTTCATGGGACAGATGGCTGTCCACAGGGAAACCCGAGCCTATTTGGGGCTTCGTTAGCAGTTGGCAGTGGAGGCTCACCCGAGGCAGGAAAGCTTTTGGAACAGACTTGGTTCAAAGCAAAGAAGCTTCACTCACAACAGTGGCTTCCTCTGAAGCCTGGTTATTACTCTAATTAAGCCACCACAAAATCTGCTCCCTTAATAACAACCTGCCCACAAGAACCCTGGGTGTTTCAAGGAGGGCAGGTTGGACGGGGAGCTAGCTGAGGGCCGGTGCAGGTCTGCTGTTGACCTGTCACTTCTTGGTCGTTGGGCAGCAGGGAGTAGTGACGAGAGATCATAGAGGTATTTAGCAATCATGGAGTTTAGTTATAGGGGTCCTTCTTTAGTGAACAGGGTCACTGCCCTCTCTGAGTGGGCGTTGGTTGGAGGACTGTCCAGCTGGCCTGAGGCTGCCATGGTATTAATGACTGGCACCTATATGGAAAGCCAACCACTGTGCTGAGGACTTTACGCTGCTCTCATTTCTTCTCACCAGCTGGTTCTGGCCCGTAGATGTGTTTAGTTTGGCCCTCTTAAAGTGTTTTTAGAATTCTGAATCATTTGCCAACATTTTAAGTTCAGGAGATTTATATACAAATTCAGATCCAATTTGTGTCCTCTGGGAGGTGTGCCTTCCCCAAGGTCCAGGGGGATTTGAACCCACCCTCCTGAATCCTGCTCTTATGCTCTGGAAGACCCTGGTTTGGCAGTGCCCTCTGGGGTAGAAATTAAAAGAAATGGAATTCTGGTACAGGATTGCAGGAGAAAAAGGCCCGGGGTGGGGGAGTGCATTTATAGTCCTTTGCCACTACTCATTGTCTACCCGCGACAGTGCTGGGAGGGCGAGATGTAGACTAGACTCAGGGTCTGCCTCTGGGACCTTTACCACAGTTAGACCCTGGAGGACAGTGAGGAGGCAGCGAAGCCTTTTTGCTCCTTTCAGTTCCTCATCTGAGCCACTGGGCTGCCTGCACTCTGCTGCACAGAGGCAGGGAAGTCTTAAGGTCAAGAGCGAGGTCCCCAGAGTCAGAATTCTTAGCAATGCTGTGATCTGGGGAAAGTCACGTAACCTGAGGCTTAGTGAGATTCCTGTGCACTGGGACCTGTGTCCCCACCCCTACCCCACCCCTGTACTTCCTTTACCCCCTGCTGCAATGAGTGCTTAGCAGTTTCAGCCCTCATTGTTCCTGCCTCCCTGACATGGGTGCTGCTTGCACCACCAGGCTTCCCTCAGCATCTCTGCACCCTCTGGAGAGCACTTGGTCTGCACCTGACCCTGTGAGCCCTCCTGTCATCCTGATCCTGCACCATTGGGGACTGGGATGGAGAGAAGCTCCTGACTGAGGTCAAGTCCAAGGGCAGAGGGACTTCCTGGTCAGCTCAGAGGTCTGGGAAGTCACATCCCTACCTTAGAAAGCTAATGCTTCCTGGTCTCTGTGCAGCCACAATAAGATAAGGGGAACCCTAGGGTTCATTGAGCAGACTTGGGGGGAGCAGTGGGCAGCGAATGGGATCTCAGGCAGGAGTGGGTAGCCTGTTAGCCTGTGGCTGGGCTGGGCAAGGAGGCTTCCTACTCATCCTGGCTCCCTGTCCCTGAAGGCTGGCCGAGAGGCATTCCAGGTTGCAGAACATGGTGGTTAGCATTCTGGACCCCGAGCCTCTGGTCTGTTCTCACATTAGGACTTAGCCACTGGCAGGCTGTGAGACCCAGGGCAGGTTAACAAGCTTGCCTCCCCTCCAGGAGGGGACAAGAGTGGCCTCTGCCACCCTGAGCTCTGCAGGATTCGAGGAAATAGTGGATAGAAAGCACTTCCAATTGGCAGGAGCTGACTGGGCACAAAGGCAGCTCAGTGTGGGCTCAGGGATCAGACCATGTGGATTCAAATCCCAGTTCAGCCAGTTACTAGCAGGATGACTCGGAGCTTCCCCAGTACATGAATAGCTCACAACTCCCTGGATTGTCACAAACTTGTGATAGCTGAGATCTGCAGAGGGAGAAATGAGCTTAAGGTGGGAGAGCTGCCCTTCTTACCTTGAAGTTGAAAACTGCAGTGCAGATAGACTTGGTTTGTGCTTTTGTCTGGAGAGGGACATGGCGGGGAGTGGTGTGCAGCCCAGCCCAGGACCAGTGTGTCTCAGGGACCTGGACCTGGTGTGTCTCAGGGACCCAGCTTGGAGCTTCGCTGCCCCTGCCCTGTTTCCACACCCCTCTGGCCACCATGTAAGTTCAGTGCTGTCCTGGCCATCCTGTCCCTAAGCTCAGATAGCATGATCCTCTTGGAAAAATCTATGTGGTTTCTTTTCTAAGCCTTCAACAGCTAGCTGGCAGGGCATCGGTTGCGACTTGGAGATGGGAGTTGATTCTTGAGTGGGCCTGAGTCTTGAGAGGAAGCTAGGGCCAGGGAGGGCGCTGTGCATTGTGATGTGCTGAGCCCCTGACCCTCCTCGATGTAGTCTTTGGCCAGACTCCTGTGCCAGTGGTGGGAGGCGCAGCCTCCCATGGGTGGGTAGAGATAGGGTGAGGCTGGCTAAGAAGGCTAGGGTAGGGCCATGTTTCATTCTTCTGCTGTAGTGGACTGAGTGTGGGGAGGTAGGTTACTAGGCGGTTTTCTGAGAGAGGATTTCCCATGCCACCCGTGAGTATAATGGGGCCTGCCTTTTTTTGCAGATGGAAGAGAAGAGGCGAAAATACTCCATCAGCAGCGACAACTCTGACACCACTGACAGTAAGGCCTTCCATTTGGGGCTCCTCCAGGGAAAGCAATTGAGTGATTATCAGGCCATAGTCCCAGCTGGGGGGAAGCTACCCCATAGTCTCAGTGTTGAGGAAAGCGCTAAAGCAGATCAAGTCTTTCTGCTCCTAAGGAAGTCAGTCCCCACACCACATGGTCTCCAGGGTCTGGCAGGCCTCTTCACTGCGCTCCCTTTGCCCCTCTAGGTCTCAGACCAAGGGGTTTTTGCTCTTTGCTCCCAGCTGCTAGGAACACATCCCTCACCCTCTGGCCCTCCTGTTGAGTCAGGGCCCTATAGGAGGTCTCCAACAACAGGTTGAAAACTGTTCCTTATTATAATTACCTGATAAGTATTTCACAGCAGTAAGCTTCTTGATAAGAGGTCATATTTTGCTCACTGCCTTATCCCAGCCACAATCTGGTACACAATTGGTGCTCAGTAAATGTTTGCTGAAGAAATTAATGAAGTCTGACCTTCATGCACTCTTGACAATAGAAACCCCAGGGGCATGGACTGGACTTGTCCGTTGGATGCCAGGGGAGAGGGCACTGTCAAGGGGACAATGGGATTTAAGATGCAGCTTCTGAAACTTGGGGATGAAAAGGGAGGTTTGTGTAAGGTAAGAGCTTTTCTCTGGTTCTAGAAGGCAGCTCTTTGAGATGCCCCAGGAAACTGGGTCTGCAAGAGCTGGTGGGAGTAAGGAGTTCCTCTCTGCTCCGTGCAGGAAAGACACGCTGCCAGGAGGCTCCCACCCAGGAGGCTCCCACCCGGCAGTGTGCCTGCTGGAGGCCCTGACAGAGGCAGAGGCTGTGCTGAGGGAGGTGGGGCCTGGAGCCCTGCAACTCTACACCTCTGTTTGCTCACATAAGTGGAGAGCAGCTGAGATTAGCTAGAGCTCCAAGGATCCTGAGAGTGCCCAGAGTTCCACAGCCATCCAGGGACCTAATCAGGTCCCACCCCCTTCACTTCCTCCAGGTCTCACTCACTGACCTCTGGGGTCTGCTCACTCAGCTTGGCTCCAGTGTCTAACCTGGCCAGCCCTTCCTCCCTGTGGCAGGAGATCACAGCATCCGGCTGACTGTGGCTGTAACCACGCTGCCTGTGGCCTGGCTTGGTAGAGCCAAAAAGAACCGCATCCTCTGCTTCTAAGTTTATTGCCTGCAGACGAGCCTTGAGGGCCAGGCACCCACAATGGGCGCTGGGCAGCGGAGCCGTGTAGCTGCAACAGATGTGGGCCATGCTGAAGCAACTCCCTTCCCACCAGCTCCCACCAGCGCACCCATTCCTGACTCTTGCTTCTTTGATCCTGGGGATGGAGACTACCACCTTGTAGTGCAGACCCTAATCCTTAATAGGTACGGTTTATAGGAAGTGCTGTTTGCCAGGGACCATGCCAAGACTTTGCAGGCACGATATTGTTTCATTCTCTCAACTGCCTTTTGAAGACTGTTATTCTCTTGTGCCCATTTTATAGAAGAGCTAACTGAGACTCAGAGAGATCAAGTCATTTGCCCAGATGATAAGCTAGTAAATGGCTGAGACAGGGCTGAAGCCTGAGTCTACTATATAGCAGCACTCTCTCCACGCTTTGTCCTGTCCTGTCCTGCTTTGTGTACCTACTGGGCATCATCCCAGCGGTGTAACATGGAACACAGGCGGAGAGGGTCTACGGGAGACTTACTCTAGCCCCCTTCACCAAGGAACAGGTGGAGACCTAGAGAGGGCAAGAGACTTGTCTGGGGTCACACCACCAGCTAATTCTGAGCCCTGGTCAGCTGCCTTTTCTTTCACAAGCCCCTGCTGTTTGATGAGGGAGGAGGTGTCATGGCCATTTATCCATAGAGAAGCCCGGAGCTAGGCAAGGAGTGTCCACCAGGTGCTCACAGAGGTCTGTACTTCGTGAATATTCAAGCCAGGGCTTTCCTTACAGGCTTCCTGTCCTTGGAGGTGGGTGGCCTGTGTTCCTGGCCTTGGAGCGATTCCTAATGGACTGCTTTCTCCACAGGTCACGCTACGTCTGCATCAAGATGCTCCAAACTGCCCAGCAACACCAAGTCGGGCTGGCCCCGGCAGAACGAAAAGAAGCCCTCCGAGGTGGGTAGTGACAAGTGTCTTGGCGAGAGATAAAGTGGGGATATGGAGGCCACAGGAGCAAAGACCACTGGGGAGTGAGGCACTGCGAGCTGCAGTTGTTTGGGGAAGAGCATTTCTCGCAAAGGGCACCATCACTGCAAAAGGACAGTGTGGCTGAGTGGAATGAATGGAAGGGACTGGCGTGCCAGTTCTCACAACTTTGTATGTTGTAAAGATGTTGCTATGGATCTGACCAGAGAATGGATCTGTCGGGGTTCATAAGCGGGGTACTTACATCGTCTGATGTTCCCACAGGCTGCTGTGAGGCGAAGGGTATGCAGGGGGCAAGAGTGGAAGTCTGGAGGATTCTGTCCCTGTTGTCCAAGAAATGATGGTGGCTTAGAGCTAGGTGGTGGCAATGGAGTATGATGCGGAATTTGGGACCTTTTGGAGAGTGAGCCTGGTGTGACAGGATTTGCCAATGTGGGGAGCAAGAGGGGGTCCTCAGAGACATCTAGTTAAGTCATTTGCTTCTTGTGTGCCTACTTCACATGCATCTGCATTTTAACCCACCCTTTCTTTGCCCTGGGATGTTTCTCATGGTAGGTAGAGGTGTTGGTGGCCTTTGGAGCTGTGAAGAAGAGCACTGGGGCGTGGGTAAAAAAAGGACATTGGATGGATCCTGCTTCTTGCAGCCACTGAAAAATCACTTCCTAGGTCTCATTGCTTTCCCTTCACCACTGCACGGGGCACTGAAGAGGCTGCAGGAGCATTGAGTGCTCAAGAATCTGTTTTGGTTTTTTTTTTTATGCGGTGTAAGCCAGAGGTACCGGGAGGGAAGGTGAAAGGATTCACCAGAGAGAGTGAGGAACAGAACAGGCAGATCTACTGAAATACACTGCTGAGGGGAACAGCAGGTGGGCGAGGCAGGAGAGGTCTGCTGTGCCATGTGGGTCGCCTCCCTGGGCAGCTGGAGATTGAACTGGTGCTGCAGTGGCTGCAATAGCTAGATAGCGCTGTTTTTAACCCCTACGCCACCAGGGAGGCCCAAGAATCTGGTTCTTCAGAAACTTGATTTGCAGCCTATAATGTGACCAGGTACTGGGCTAGACATACCACTTTTTTAATTCTTAAAACTAGCCCAAAGTTCCCCTGTGATAATGAGGAAATAGATGATCCCAAAATTATATATTGGTACCACCCTCCCCAAGTGTGAGAAGGCCCAGGGTTTTGGGGGAGAGCCTTAGGCATGGGCTGAGGGAGGATGTCTTCCTTCTGAACCTCACCCGCTCCTCTCCTAGGCCCATCTGTCCCGAGCCAGCCCCTCAGGGGTCCTTCCACAGAATCTTGCATTTGAAAATGGTTGCCCCCGCCTCTGGGAGCTGGCCTACCCCAGGACTTTCTTCCTTTGGGAGGGCAGGGCCTTTGAGGCCTGATGACTCCTATTTCCCCACCCCTCAATCTGGTATCCTCCCCTGACCTCATGGGGCGTGGAATGCAGATGTCTCCAGGATGGAGTATCTCTTGGAATGCTGTGAGGGCTGGGACAAAAGCTGGGGGTGGGAGGATGCTCTTACTACCTACCAGACCAGCCCTGCCTGGGAGTGGATAGGATGTACTCAAGTGCTCTGCAAAGTGGGAAAGCAAGTGTGCTAAGCCACTGGGACCCTGCCCATTCCCCACCTTGAATCCCGCTGCTGTTCCCTAGTTGCTAAGATAGTTAAGTTAGCTAAGTTGCTGAGTTAGTTAAGTTAGTTAAACAGAGTTAGTGAAACAGTAGCCCCCTTTCTGTACCTTCTGGTCCTGGGAGGCAGGCCTGTCCATTTTGCAGTTTGGAACCTATTATTCAAGTGTCTATTCAAGTTGGAGAATTTCTGGGGAGCTCCAGGGACTAGCTCTTTCCCCTGACTCCCCCTTCCCTGCTCCCTCCAAACACATGCAGGAGGAGAGAGAAGATGGAAGGGAGGAGGGGCCGCCAGGGCAGAGATGCCAAGGGCCGACCTGCCATCTATACTCAGGATCTGTGGCTGGGAGGAAACAGGTGTCTGTGAAGGCTGAGGGGAAAGAGTGATTTGCATGGGGCGGAAAATTCCCCTGGCTCTTGGGTTTTCCAACACAGAGGCTTTGAACCTTTCCCCACCTAAAAATAGAGTCAAGCCACTCTACAGGTGGCAGTGACTACAGCCCACCTGGCCCTGCTGGGGTTACAGCCCAAGGGTCTCTGAGGCCTGACAGAAGAGACACCTGCCTCAAGTCCTGGGCCCCTTGAGGGTTGAGAAAGTCTTCCCCGCCTTGAACTGTGGCCAAAGACAAGCTTTTCCTCCCACAGTAGGCTGGAGAGCAGCCTGCGAGGTTTCCCTCATGCCCTAAGTGAGGCTGCTGAGCCATAACAGGCATGAATTCCAAGTTAGTGCAGGACAGGGAGGAAACCATCAATGAAAGCTTCCAAATTATTTGGCACATGAGAAGGCAGAGATGAAAGTGAGGATTTGGCAGCAGATGGGTTTGCAAGAAATATCCTTTCTTCTGGGACCAGTAGTCTCCTGGGCCTGGGGGCCAAAGGCTTTGGATGCCCAGGGCAAAGGAGATTTGGGAGCCACATCTGCCCAGTCCCCTGGAGCAAGAAACCTGTGGGATGGTTGTCGGTTCAGTGTGTACCCGGGCAGGCTGTCTGTCTGCCAGAGTTCCCAGGGGGATTGCTTGCTACTTGACGTGTATTGCAGAAGCCCCCTCCCTGATGACTGTAGAGCCACGCAACCTGTGGTTCATTTCACTCCTCATGCCTTAATGTGAACAGTGCTGGCATAGAGGATTTGATGACCAGGAGTACTTAGCCAAGGACTGGCACATAGTGAACCCAACAGCTATGGAAAGGACTGCGATGGGGTTTGGTGGCACTGGAGCGTTTTCTAGGTGATGACCTCCAGGGTCCCGCTTTTCCCAATGCTCCCTGAAGGTGTAAATCAAGGGGCACCCTCTACACCAGAATGAGGTGCCGAGGGTGGAAAAGAAGTACTCCGGCTAGGAGTCAGGACCCTGGACAGGGCCGAGGCCTGGAGACCCATTTTCCCTTCTGGCCATTCCCCAGTGAATGGCTTTTCTCAGCCAGAGTGAGAAGGGAGTGCAGGGCCCCAGACTGGGGGCTGATCCGTGCAGACCTTGGGATCCTAGGAGACTGGGTTAGGATTTTTGATGGACGTGCCCAAAGATTCCCTTTGGCTGTGGAAGGAAAGGGGGCTGACCCAAAAGACAGGCTCCTGCCTTCCTCTGCTCTGCCTGCCTGCTGGTTCCCAACAAAGCTGAGATTTGGCCCTTGGAGCTTAAGTGAGCCAGGCCAGTCCTGAAGGGGAGGGGAAGGGATTAGCCTAGCCTGGGGAGGTGGTATTAGTGTGTAAACCTGGCTGGGACCTGGGGTTTCTGGTCTGGCTTGTCACACTAAATGGCATAACCATTATTGGTGCTTAACCCTTTGTAGGACATATCTCTGAGACTCTCATGGGCACCAAAGGCTGGAGATTACTTTTTGTCAATACTGGTACCAGAACCCCATTCCTCTTCACCCCCAGGAATTCTGACTTAAGTGGTCTGGAGTGGAGCATGCGTGGGGCCCGAGGGGCCTGTACTTACTAAAAGCCCTCCTGTTGGGACCCAGGGTTAACTCCTGCTCTAGACCTGTGCCTTCATTTTCTTAAGATAGGAGGTCCTGCTTTGATTTTCCCTGGAAGACCCTGAGGTTGTAGAAGGGAAGGGAGTTTTCTCAGACTTCCTCAGTGATGTAAGTAGAGGCAGGAATGTGGGTGAGGCTCAAGGTCCCACTACCACAGGTGCAGGGGACTGACTCTTCTACCAAACCCTTGGCCTAGCAGGGGTGTGAAGGGCTGTTCAAGAAGAGACCTGGGGGCCAGCAACGTGGCTTAGAGGCTACTGTTTGAGGCTGTGTCTTCCTCGGGCCTAGAGCAGAGAGGCAGATGGGAGGACAGGCCTAGCCGTGATCTCAGGTGAGTGAAGGTAGAGCAGTCCTCCCAGGATGGAAGTCTGCCCCTGGCAGACTGTCTTTAGGTGGAGAAAGCTGTATTTTCAAAAAGTTAGAATCCCCTTGAAGTCAGCTAGGGGCAAAGGCATGGGTCTTCAGGACTGAAGAGCTACTGATACTGATTAAACCCAGCAAGCACACTACAGCATCTGATACAGCCTGTGCTCCTGCAAGGGGTACAGAAAATGTGAGCCCTGTCCCTGGGGAGCTTGTCCTCTCACTGTTAGCAGGATGCAGGTGCTACACAGGAAAGAGTCCGTTATATGAGGTCCCCCCAGCTTTGCCTCTTGTGAGCTCTGTGACCTTGGTAAGTGACACTTTCTCTCTGAGCTTCAGGGTCCTCATGTGTGGAGACCTGCCCTACACCCTACTAGATGTGACTGTCCTCTCCTGGGGCCTTTGGAGCCTGGCTGGCAAGGAAGGTCTGAGGAGTGAAGCAGTCCTACTGGGATGGAAGCCTGAAGGGTCCCACAATGGTGGAGAAAGGGGGGGAGGTGGGATCCAACTGGTTTTTTTATTTTGTTTTGTTTTGCTTTATTTATTTATTCACTCATCCATTCATTCATTCTTATATTGTAGTCCCGGGATCAGACAGTTAACTCCTTTGTGGGTCCTGGTAACAATGTAGTATATTTCTAGATGAGAGAGTAGGATTTGGGGATCGGACCCGGGAGAAAGAGAATAATCTCTGCCCAGTGGGGTGTTCCCCACACCCAGTGGCCCTGAAAGTTCCTATGTGAGGATGGCCTTCCTCCAGAAAAGGCAACAAGTGAAGATTATCAGTTTGACCCGTTGCTTTTTAAAATGGAACCCTCCTTCCCCAGATGAAGGTGGGGTGGTCAGTTTGTATAGGGTTCAGAATCACCGGATAAGTAAGATGCCTTCCTGGAGAAGCAGAGGTGTTATCCAGATTAAAATAACATAAGTTATATAAAAACCGTGATAGCATATGTTGGGGTGAAATGCACAATGCCCACAAACTTGAGAG